AACTATGGCGTTTGACTTTGTTGCAGTTTTTTATCTCACCCTGAAGACATTATTTTCCATACCGGAAAGAGTTTTAAGTCAAAATTTGAGTGAGTTTAAGTCTTTGAGAAAAATCGAGCGAGTTTTTCGGTGGTCTGGTTTTGACCCATTAATTATGTTGAAAATAAAAAAAACTGATAGCTTCCCAATTTTTTTTTTTTTTTTTCAAAAAATCTATTCTCAAAAATTTAATATCAACATTTAAATTTAATTTAATATAAAAAATATCCCACATGTACGATACTTCCTAAGAATATGATGAATCCAAATTCTCTGAATTCATATGGCATTTTGAATTGTAATTAGTTATCTGCTCAATAATTATTTTGATAAAAAAAAATATTTTATTGCACAATTTTTCAAATCCAGTCATCCCCACAAATAAACAACAAAAAGCAAAATTTGCGGTCCAAAAAATAAATGAAGAAAAACCCCACATTTTTCTTGCTTTGATTTTGGAACATTCAGAATTTTATTCATTTCTTTTATTGTTATCTGTTTGGGACATTGACCCAGTATTCTCAATTGATTTGTGGCGCACAAACAAAAGAAAAGAAAACAAACTTTATTGTCCGGCACATAAAATGACGTACATATGTATGTATGTGTGTGTGCGCATATAAATATTTTATGGGCAATCTTTGCGGAATGATAAGTTACTTCATAACATTGGGACGTCATCCGGTTTATCATGCAAATATTTGGGGTTTCCAAAGGGTTTCCAAAATGTCCATTCAATGAGGACAGACTTCTTTGGAAAAAAATATTTAAATTTTTTAAAAATACGTTATTTTTAAAAAATAAATTTTTACAAAAAATTCATTTTTTTATTATTTTGAGAAAAATACAAAATATCTAAAAAAAGTTTGATTTTTTCCTTTATTTTGAAAATTCAAATTTCCTGCCTCATTGTCACATCCTCATTCAACTGGGCCACATTTTATTGAGAATGAGGACAGACTTCTTTGGAAAAAAATATTTAAATTTTTAAAAATACGTTATTTTTAAAAAATAAATTTTTTACAACAAATTTCATTTTTGTTATTATTTTGAGAAAAACACAAAATGTCTAAAAAAAGTTTGATTTTTTTCTTTATTTTGAAAATTCAAATTTTCTTCCTCTTCCATCCTTTTAAGCCTCATTCTCACATCCTCATTCAACTGGGCCACATTTTATTGAGAACACAAATTAAATTTAAGGAATTTTTTGGTTTCACTGCCACTTTTGGCCAAATTGTGCCACCAGTGAGCTAGCGCACGAGCATGTGAGTGAGTGTCATTCTGGGAAAAGTAGCCCAAATGATTATAAATGTTGGTCATACAAGAGAGAGAGAAAGAGGGAGAGAAGAAAAAAACCAAACTAAGCCAACATCACTTTAGTTTAAGCACCGACAACAAACCGACATTCAACCAACTAACCAACCATCCCAACTCTGATGCACACACTCACTCACACACCCATTTCAATGATGTTGTTGCTGATGATGATGATGATGATGGATGGTCATAGCCGGCAACATATCGTGTTTTTATGTTTTCCAAACGCCAACTCAAAAGCCACGGCAAAGAGAATGGCAGCAATCTAATGAAATTCATTGCATTTCAATCCAATAGCCTAGTTTTCATCATCAACATCAGCAGCACCAGCAGCATCGGCATCGGCAACAACCGCAGCCACAGCAGCAAAGTGGGAAAGTGCTTAACAAACGTCGCCACCACTTAGCTGGAAAAATATTGAAGTCAGGCCGACAGGCAGCCAGACGTTGTTTAAATGCCATCAGCCAATTCAATTGAATTTGGCCTAAATGAGAGGCAGGCTGAGAGCAAGAAATGATGGACAGCTTAACGCACAGCATCCTAAATTAGTTTGTAACATGAGAGCCGATGTGAGCACAATGTGTGTGTGTGTGCTTGTGTATGTGTGTGTGGATTTACGACTGGTGTTCTATTTTATGGAATCCTGTTGCCTAGTTTTGCAAAATGAAACATGATTGTATGGCATTATTGGTAACAAAAAAAATCATAGAAAAATATCGGTTAAGCATAAAAAATCGGAATATTTTTTTTTGACATGGGAAAAAATTGGAAACCGGTTTTCTCATAGGATTGAATACAATACACTTTTTTTTTGGAATAGAAAAAATTAAAAAATTTTTCACATAGAAGAAAATCCGGAAATATTTTTTTTCGAAAACTTAGAAATATTTTCGGAATATTTTTTTATTCAATTCAATACACTTTTTTTTGGAATAGATAAAATTAAAAAAATTTTCACATAGAAGAAAATCCGGAAATATTTTTTTCGAAAACTTAGAAATATTTTCGGAATATTTTTTTTTTTGCATTTTAGACATGGAAGATTTTCAAAAATTGAAAAATGAGCTAGGGGTAAGGCCATTAAAATTCCAAAGAGTGAAAGAACTTAGACCGCAACCGAAAGAAAATAGACTCAAATAAGCTAAGGAGTTGCTTCGCTTGGCCGAAAGTGGTGAACTGCCGAATTTGGGTTTCTCTGAAAACCAGAAAACATTCGTTGTCCAGCAAAATGATGTGCACCTTCGGTTGGCCACCAGAACTCAAGCGCCGGCCATGGTGATGTTAAAAATGTTCTACTCATACAAGAACTCTAAAAGTCATTTCAGATACCTTGAAGACAACCTGAATTCCTCCTAAGTCCAGAAAATATTCTGTAAATGGGCGACTGGACATTGAGAACCTTCTAAAGGATTTTTGAACATAAAATACCTTGTAAGAGGTCATTCATAAGCAGAAATTTTTTGAACGTATTTTTTTAAAAGATCAACAGAGGAGTGGTCCCAGTAGGAGAGGGGCCGATAAATTCCATATGCATATCAGATCTGGGGATGAGAAAAATATCAAGATATACCAAGCTTAAAAAAAATCGCTGATTTGTTTTGCAAGTTGTGAGACATTATAATCCTTTGTGGGCGAGCTACCAGAAGGGATGGACCGAAGCCAATCATCTTCACAGCAGATCTTGTGATAGTTGAAATATAAGGATGTGTGAAATTTGAAAAGGTTCGGATGCTCATTTTGCATTTTATGAGCGTTTTGAAGGTCAACATTTTGACCTTTTTTGTGTGGGAGGTACCAGAGGGATTGGGCTGATATCTATCAACTTCACACCAGATCTTGTGTTAGTAAAAATATTGAGATGTGTGATATTTAAATTGTGACCCGTTGTGGGGGATTTACCAGAAGGAATGGTCCGATGCATTATATCTTCACACCAGTCTTAATTTGGAGAGAGAGATTTCAAAGATCAAGAAACTGAACCAAGGATTTTTTTTTAATTTTTTTTTTTTATTTTTTGGAAAAAAAAACCAAGGACCAAAAGACGTGGATATAAAAAATAGATGAATATTTTTTTAAAATATTTAAAATACCAGCAGACTTGAAATTTTCCAAAACCTTTTTTTCAATGACGACTTGACTTGGATTTAAAAAAATCAAGGACCAACATACGTAGATTTAAAAAAATCGAGGACCATCATACGTGGATTTTTTAAAAACATATTTCAAGGATTTATTTAACTTTGGGGCCCATCACACGTGGATTAACTTAACATGGATTAAAAAAAATATTTCGAGGATCATCAGACGTGGATTTATTCAAAAAAATAAATATTTCAAGAACCAATAGTCGTGGATTTATTTAAAAAAAATATTTCAAGGATTTATTTAAAAAAAATATTTCAAGGACCAATAGTCATAGATTTATTTAAAAAAAAATATTTCAAGGACCAATAGTCGTGGATTTATTTAAAAAAAATATTTCAAGGACCAATAGTCGTGGATTTATTTAAAAAAATATTTCAAGGACCAATAGTCGTGGATTTATTTTAAAAAAATATTTCAAGGACCAATAGTCGTGGATTTATTTAAAAAAATATTTCAAGGACCAATAGTCGTGGATTTATTTAAAAAAAAATATTTCAAGGACCAATAGTCGTGGATTTATTTAAAAATTTTTTCAAGGACCAATAGTCGTGGATTTATTTAAAAAAAATTTTCAAGGACCAATAATCGTGGATTTATTAAAAAAAAAATTTTCAAGGACCAATAGTTGTGGATTTATTTTAAATTTTTTTTTCAAGGACCAATAGTTGTGGATTTATTTTAAATTTTTTTTCGAGGACCAATAGTCGTGGATTTATTTTAAAATTTTTTGAAGGACCAATAGTCGTGGATTTATTTAAAAAAAATTTTTCAGGGACCAATAGTCGTGGATTTATTTTAAAAATTTTTTTCAAGTATTTTAATCCACGTGGATTTATTTAAAGACCACTGGACGTGGGTTAAAAAAATATTTCAAGGACCACAAGACATGGATTAAAAAAAAACTATTTAAAAAAAAAAAAAAAAAAATATATATATATATATATATATATATATATATATATATATATATATATATATATATATATATATATATATATATACATATATATATATAAAAGCCCTTGATGTGGATTTAAAAAATATATTTAAAGGAGCCCTTGACGTGGATTTAAAAATATATATTTCTGGGACCAACAGACCTGGATTTTTTTCTAAATATATATTTTCAGGACTATTGGACGCGGATGTAGATTAAAAAAATGTCAAGGGCCACTTGACGTGGAATTTTTAAAATAAATTTAAAAATATATATATATTTCAAGGACCAAAAGGCGTAAATATTTTTCCAAAATTAATGGATTTTTTTTAAATATATACTTGACGTGGATTTTTTTACATTATTTTTTTTTTCAAAAACTAACAGACGTAGATTTTTGCAAAATATGTTTGCAAGAACCAACAAACGTAGTTTTTTGAAAAATGTTTTCAAGGCCCTCAGACAATGTTTTTTTATATTTTTTTAATGAGTCATAATTAATTCTAAATATATTATTACATATATCCTTCAACTAACTGAAACCCTTTTCTTCTCTTTCCAGCTGTGCGTTATGGTCGCGTACCAAAACGTTCACGTGAGCTGAATGGCGGCCAGCCATCCACCACAGAGGATCCAAACGCTGCAGTTGTCGTAGTTAATTCGTGTGATTTACGGCGTGTCAGCACACCGGGAACACCGAATACACCGCAAACGCCACAAATGTGTTCCATAGCATCATCGCCATCTGAGCTGGGCGGCTGTAGTGCCACCGGCAACAACAACAATACAAACTCTTCACAACTGGTCGTGGGTGTTGGTGGCCCCTCGAACGGCAGCGGCGGTATGGTTGTCGGCGTTGGCATTGGCAATGCGGGCAACATGAATTCCCAGCAGCTGAATACCGTGCACGAAGGACATCATCACAGCCATCATCATCACCATGCGACGCTGCATCACCACCACCATCACAACAGCCATCATCATCATCACTCGACACATTTGCATCACAGCCACAGTGATGCGACGACGGCGGCCTCCATGATGGCCGGCAATAACGGCGGCAACGAGCTGACCGTGTACGATGTGATTATGTGCGTTTCGCAGGCGCATCGCATGAATTGTGCCTATACCGAGGAGCAGACGAGGGATTTGATGCGTCGACCCTTAAATGTGCCGCCCAATGGTGTAAGTATTCGGCTTTCCCCCCAAAAACTAATTTTGAAATTTATGGCGGTAAACTTCAATCGGAAAAGAAATTGGTGTAATGGCTAAATATGGGTTTGTGGTCAATGACCTGCATTGGCTGTTTGTTTTGATTCCGGCCGAGATAATTAATCATAAATCTTAGCGGAATACTCATAATTTTGGCTTGGTTATTTGGGTGGCCACAAAAATATCGAAAATCACCCAAACCCTGAGGCCATCCAATAAACAACAGCAGTCATGAGAACAACAGCAACGTCGAACCATGTTGGTGTGCCATTGTAACAATTCTATTACCAACATCTTGTTGGCCTGGATTATTACATCATTACCAACCGTTGTTCAATTTGTCTTGCTTGATTTGTGTTCTTCGTTTCTTTCGCTTTGCCATTCATCATTTCATTCTCTCCTTTGTTTTACAGTTAATTTCTTCAGTGTCGGAGAATATGGAATTTCAAAAGATGTGGCTCTGGCAGCAGTATGCGGCGCGTGTTACACCAAATGTCCAACGCATCGTTGAGTTTGCCAAACGTTTACCTGGATTCTGTGATTTTACGCAAGACGATCAGCTGATACTCATCAAAATGGGCTTCTTCGAGACATGGCTAACGCATGTGGCCCGTTTAATAAGCGACTCGACGTTGACATTCGACGACGGCACCTATTTGACACGGCAACATTTGGAGATCATTTATGATGTAAGTGTTAGGGCCAAGAGATGTGGATTTTCCACAGACGTGGATTTTTTAAATTTTTTCCAAAGGACCAATAGACGGAGCTTTTTTAAAAATGTTTTTTTTTTTCAAAGGACCAACAGACGTGGATTTTTTAAAAATATTTCTTTCGAAGGACCAATAGACGTGGATTTTTTAAAAATATTTTTTAAAAACCAACTGATGGTCGTGGATTTTTTAAAAATATTTTTCAAAGGACCAACTGACGGACGTTGATTTAAAAAAAATCAAAGGACCAACTGACGGACGTGGATTTAAAAAAATTCAAAGGATCAAGAGACGTGGATTTTTTAAAAATATTTATTTCAAAGGACGAACTGACGGATGTGCATTTTTTTAAAAATATTTTTTTCAAAGGACGAACTGACGGATGTGGATTTTTTTAAAAATATTTCTTTCAAAGCACCAACTGACGTGGATTTTTAAAAATATTTTATTCAAAGCGCCAATTGATCGTGGATTTTTAAAATATTTTTTTTAAAGCGCCAACTGACGGGCGTGGATTTTTAAAAAATATTTTTTTTTTCAAAGCACCAACTGACAGACGTGTATTTTTTAAAAATATTTTTTTTCAAAGGACTAAAAGACGAGAATTTTTTCAAAAAAATGTTTCTTTCAAAGCACCAACGACGGATGTGGATTTTTTAAAATATTTTTTTTTCAAAGGACTAAAAGACGAGAATTTTTTCAAAAAAATGTTTCTTTCAAAGCACCAACTGACGTGGATTTAAAAAAAATTCAAAGAACCATCTGACGTGGATTTATTAAAAATATTTTTTTAAAGAACGAACAGACGTGGATTTTTTAAAAATATTTTTTTAAAGAACGAACAGACGTGGATTTTTTAAAAATATTTTTTTTTAAAGAACCAACTGACGTGGATTTGTTAAAAATATTTTTTTAAGGACAAACTGACGGATATGGATTTTTAAAAATATTTTTTTTAAGGATAAACTGACGGATATGGATTTTTTAAAAATATTTTTTTAAAGCAACAACTGACGTGGATTTTTTAAAAAAAAATTCAAAGGACTAACTGACGAATGTGGATTTTTTAAAAATATTTTTTTCAAAGGACCAACTGACGAATATGTATTTTTTAAAAATATTTTTTTCAAAAAACCAACTTACGGACGTGGATTTAAAAAAAAATCAAAGGACCAACAGACGTGAATTTTTTTTAATTTTTTTTTTTTCAATTTCTGTCTGTGATTTTTTTAAAATATTTTTTCAAAAATAATTTTTTTTTCAAAGGACCACGTATGTGAATGATTTTAATTTTTTTTTTCAAAAATATTTCTTTCAAAAGACCACGTCTATGGATTTTTTTTTAAATATTTTTTCAAAGGACCGCGTCTGTGGATGTTTTTTTATTTTTTTTTTTTTCAAAAATATTTTGTTCAAGGTCTAAACGTTGTATTTTAAAAAACTTATTTTCTTTTTTTTATTTTTTTTTCCATTTTTCTCATTACTAAAACCCCTTTCCGTGTTTCTCTCTTTCCCTTTTCAGACCGATTTTGTGGTTTCACTCTTCAACTTTGCCAACACCATCAATGTATACGGTCTCAGTGACACCGAAATCGGTCTCTTCTCGGCCATGGTCCTATTGGCCTCCGACCGGCCCGGCATATCGGAAGCGAAAATGATTGCCCGAACAAGGGAGCGTATTACGGAAGCGTTGCGGGTACAAATCGTACGATCACGCAACGGTACAACACAGGCGCTACAGCTGATGCCGGCACTGGAGGCTAAAATCCCCGAACTGAGAGCATTGGGTCTGAAGCACAGTGCCCATTGTAATTGGTTAAGGATAACAAAGCCCAGATTGCCACCATTGTTTGCGGAATTATTTGACATTCCTATGGAAGAAGAAAATTAAAAGAAAAAGCAACAACAACGGAAACATCAACAATGGAGAATCACAGAGAGAGAAGTTCAAAACTTCTTTAAAATACATCTGCAATAAAGAACAACCAACAACAACAACAAATGAATATAATGAAATTTACAAAAACAAAAAAACAATTTAATAAGACTATTATCTTTAAATTTATTAAGTAAAGGAATAACAACAAAAACCAATAAATATTATAGAAACAAATCTAATGGAAATATTTGAAAGCAAAACAGTAACAACAACAACATCAGAAATTAGAAGTTAAAGATGAAAAACCAAGAAAACTCAAAGAGATTTTCCCCCTCCTCCAAGATTTTTCTAATTTTTTAAGATATACCAAATTATAAAAGAATCCTGTATTAAATCAAATTAAAATCAACATAAGATACACTTACACTGTGCTACAAAAATTGAGAAATGTCCAAATTTGATGCCGCGAGATAGAACCATAGTTACTTTTGAGGATTTTCATGGAATCATTTTCTGAGTCGATTTATGCATGTCCGTCCGTCTGTCTATCTATGTATTTTTGTGAATAAAATGAAGGTGGCATTTTCCAAACAGTATTTGTTTGGCCCAAGGACGAACCCTACTGAAATTGTTGAGAGTCGATTCAAATTTAGATATAGCTTCCATATATCTCCAAACGATTTCGGGTTATTTGTGCACCAAATGGCTAATATCAGCTAAAATGGAATGAATTTTGGAACATCCAACCGAATTAAGTCTAGATACAAGTACTTCAAATTTGGTGAAAATCGGTTCAGATATATCTATAGATCTCTTATATTTATTTCATCCAATTTGGTGTTAAAGTCCCTTGCCTGCGTAATATGCACTATACAACAATGATATTTGACACCCGGCATCAGATACTGCTCGAAAATACCTCTGCCAAATTATATCGAGATCGGATCTGATTTTACGGTTATTGCTCACAATATATGTAAAATCAAAATTGAATAGAAAGACGTGGGTTTTTGAAATCCGAACTTTATCATTAGTGAAAAAATCCACGTTGTGCTCCATATTTCTTCTACGAACTTCAGGTAAATTTCAAAAAGATATTTTGATTTGGAAGGATACGTTACTTGACTTCCGATTAATTGAAATCGATTTTTAATTTTCAGATCATCCTACAAGTATGCAATGATTCAGACCTTTGTAATTTTGATTTCTTAATATTTTAAAAAATGTCTACCAAAAATCTAGAAACGATTTTAATCGACTTTGGGCTGGGAAGTAGAAGTCGAATTCGAGTTTTTAACTGATTGAAGAAAATCGGCAGAACGAAGAATCAACATTTTTGTTGAAGGCCAAAGTCGAAGAATCTAAAAATTGTATTTTGCTCTCAACAACGCATCGCTTGGCCTAAGAAATTTCCCAAAATTTTGATCGTGTATCTTTCTCTATTAAATTCAGACCTCCGAAAAATTGGCTCAATTTTGCTCACAGAGTGAAACTCACTCAAATTTGAACAAGTGCGCTCCTGGGAGCAGAAAAATTTTTGAGCGAACTCATTTTTTCAATGTCACTCAAATAGGAGAGAGCATGTTTTCCTCGTTTTTGAGTGGGAGCAAACTTGAACCCTCTTCCTTCCTCCGTTTAAAGTTCATACCAACATCAAAGCCGGTCAAAAATCTAAATTTGAAGAGTTCTGTCTATAGCGCAATAGGAGCAGGTTCATTTTCAATCTCAAAGGAAATTTCGAATAATCAACAATTTTTTTAAATTGGAATTGGTTCTCATTTATCACTTCCAAAATAAAAAATAAGAATTTTCAAAGTAAACGAATTCCAAAGCATTCGGTATATTGAAAAAGTTGACTAATTGAGTCCATCTTTCCACATTACTATATCAACAGATATGAACATTGGTATAGACGACTAATAACTTTAGCCCATATTTTTAACATTGTCAGTTCAGTATCAGTGGTGCCCAAAAGTAGAATTCAAAGATTTGATTGGGTGGTGTAGAGGGTTTTGAAGTAGTCAATTGGGCAGGAAACCCAAGGACCCCAACCTGCATAAGTCTCTTATCACTATTTTAAAATTCTTTCTCGAATCGATAACTCGAAGAGTTTTCAAGAACTGGGGGCAAATTCTCGCAATTGATATCGACCGAATTTTGATCGAAATGATTTTGAGTATGAACTATTTCGATTTATGAAAATCCATTTCAATATTTAGTTGTTCCACCGAAATCTGCAATCTTATCAATTTAAAAATTAAATATTAAAATTTATTTCGATCCAAATTATTCGATATCGAAGGATAGAATGATCGAAATTTTTTCTAAAATTTGTCTGGCCTAAATTTGTTATTTTGATAAGGAAAATAAATATTTACATTCTTGGTCACGATAAAATTTGAAGTTCATGCCAATCATAATAAAATTATGCCAGGAAATGTTAAAGGCTTGAAAAGTGGAACTTATCGTAACAAATTTTACTATAGCTTCTTTTTAAAGGTACCTTCCAAAAAAATAAATTTTGTAAGACTGGAATTGTTTTACTGGACCATCTCCATTGGGACCGCCTGATTGACTAGTTGACTAGAATTTAATATTTGGGGCTTTCAATATTCAGAAATATTTAAATCGGCCGGAGTTCTGATATTGTCCTCTTATAATGTTATGGAGCGATCATGGTAGAAGAACACATTGATATGCCAAAAATTTAAATGTTTTTTTAATAGGTAGATTTTTATAAGTTTTCCTATACGACATCAATCGGAAGTTGTTATGATATGCATTTTCAACAATTATTACAAAATTGAATAATTTTTCATTCCAAATTTTTAATTTCAAATTTGGTTTGACAGAAAATTGTCCCAACAGCTATGTACCCGTATTATTCTACAGTGTGCGTTATCTAAAATATATTGAAGACTTCCATCGAATTTTCCAACAGAATTTTCATTTGGAATTCTAAATGGGTGTCTATACGAAAAAAATTCAAATTGATCAACCTTTTCCTATAGTCTCCCACATAAGGATAATAGAAAACTTCTTCTTTATATGCAACATTTTTTCTAATTTACCAGCATCTCAATCACATATTGTAGCACAGTATAATAACCAAACAGCCGTAAAATGGGATCATTTAAATTTTATCCAAAAAATAAAAAAAATCCAAGCAAACCCAAAAAAAAATTGAAATAAAAAATCAACATCACAAAAATCTTTTTTATTAGAAACAAAAATTAACAACAAAACATTATTGATGTAAAAGGTAGCAAAATTATAACAACAAAGTAAGAATAAAACTAAAAAACATACACACGCATTGTATATTTATTTATGCATTGTATAATTAAATAAAAAATAAACTAAATAAAGTTATTACAAATTCAAACATGAGAATTAAACTAAAAAATGAAAAAAAAGTATTTTAGCTTAAATAATGCCAATCATCATGATACAACACGAACAACAAACAAATCGCCCTGCATTAAATCAGTAATTCAACAACAACAAAAAACATCCTCTAAAAATTAAAAAAAAACAAATTAAAATAAAAACTTTACTTCTTAACATTTATAAAATGTTTTAAAAACAAAATATAATAAACAACAACTACAAAAAAAAAAACATTTATAAAATGTTGCAAAAATTTATTGGAAATAAAGGAAAATATTTAAAATATTACAAAAAAACAAAAAAAAAATAAAAAACAAAATTCATATATCATTTCATGCAAAAAACAAAAATCATCACATTTTATTTTTAGTTAAAAAAGAGAAAAAAAACAACAAAAAATAATCTATATTATTTTTCTATTATTATTATTACTATTACAATTATTATTTAATTATGTTATTGCAATACTATTATAATTATTTAAACACAAAACATAAAAATACAACAAATGTTTTTTACATAATGTTTAAATGTTTTTTCTATTATTTTAAATAATAATGACTTATAATAATAATATATGAAATTATTATTATTCTTATTTAATTAAAGAAAAATATTTTTTTAATTGTTAAGATTTTTCTCTTTATTTTTTTAAGGATTTGTATTTGAAGAAAAAAAAACATTACAAAACAGAAGAAAAACAATTGATTGCTTTTATTTGTTTCGATAATATATTCTTCTTATTATTATTATTATTAAAGCGACACAAATTCTGCAAACAAACTACCAATCAACAAAACAAACAACAACAAAATCTTTGTAAATAAACATTTACTTGTAATTAATTTTTTTGAACAAAAAATTTCAAATTGTTTCTTTTATTTATTATTTTTTGGTTTGTTGTGGAAAATATGGAATACTTTTATTAAATTTATAAAATACTGGAAGCAATTATGACCAAATATACATTGCATACTTTTCGGGGCTCAAGAATCGATTATGGAGAATTTAAAATCGGTTTCATATTCTTTTCAACTTTTGCCTACTACCGAAATAACGTTTCTAGATTTTTTCCAATCGCCTTAAAATTTATTTTTGAATTTCACTTCCTAATCGAAGGGCAATCTCGATTTTGGTGTGCAGTTTTGACAACTGATAATAAAATGGATTTTAGGCTTTAAGGTGATTCGAAAAACACAACTTTAAAATATGTTAATCGATGCATACTTTTTGGATCTTCTGGAAGTGATGTGATGCTAAAAATCGACTTAGGGAAAAAATCGAATATGACTTTTAGACTAACCAATGCGATTAATCGAAAACAAACAACAGACAGAAAGAAATCGCTAGATCGTCCTAGAATTTAACGCTGATCCAGAATATATATACTTTGTAGGGTCTATCATGTATATTTCGAGGAGTTACAAACGGAATGACAAAGATAATATACCCTCCATAGATTGATGGAGGGTATAAAAATGGGTAAGTATGACAATTATAATTACTTCTCGGTTGTTATGCGAAGGGAATATAAAGTAGCTGAGGGATATACATTATAATTTATTTTGTTGTTGTAAGAGGAAAAAATAAATGCCAACACTATTCTAATAATATTTTTCATTAATGATTAGTTTATACATCACATGTTAGAATCATATGTAAATGGGGGGTTCACATTTTTATTTATTGCACATTTTGACAGCATACTTTTAGACCATCCCAAAAACTGGAACAACGCAATTCTTAACTGCAAAAAAAAGATTTGCAAAATATTTTAAAAAAATCACGATATTTGCTCTGAAGCACTGGAAAAAAATATCATTAAAAATCCAAGTGCTTGAAAATGATTTTTCAGATGTAGACGTTTTTTTGGTCAAAAAGTCCAGGGAATTTATTTTAAAATTATTTAAAAAAAAAATAAACCATTGACAAAAATTTTCGAAAAATTGGCTCTATAGGGGTTCATTGGAGAATATTTTTCAAACACACACTTTATTTGGTCCGAAATTCCATGAAAAATATTTTATAAAATATTAATAAAAAATATATAAAAAAATTATTAAAAAAAAAATTCACGACATTTGATCAGTTGGTCATTGAAAATTATCTTTAAAAAATCTACATTTTTTTATCTAGAATTCTTGAAAAAATATTCTTAATTAATTGATCAGGAAATTCTGGAAAATTATTTTTCAAATATCCACGATTTTTGTTCAGAATATCCATGGAAATTATTATAGATAATCTTCAATTTTTTTTTTTTTTTCAAAAAAATCACTTTTTTTGTTCAGAAAGTCCATGAAAAATAATTAAAAAATCAGAAAAAAAAATATAGAGAAACGTTGTTTGATCGGCAGGTCTTCGAAAAAATATTTTTCAATTATCCACCCATTTTATTTGGTCCGAAAGTCCAAGGAAAATATTTAAAAAAAAAAAATATAAATAAAAATATTTAAAAAAAAATGCGTTATTTATTGAGGAAGTCATAGAAAAATATTTTTAAAAACTCACGTTGTTTAATCAGGAATTCCTAGAAAAATATTAAAAAAAAATCCATTTTTTTTTAAACAGGAAGTTCCAGAAAATTACTTTTGAAAAAATTCACGTCTTAGAATAATATTCTTCTATAAATTCACGATATTTTTTTAGGAAGTCCATGGAAAATATTTACAAAAAATAAAAACAAAAAATATTAAAAATTAAAAAATAAAAAGAATCTATGTTATTTGATCAGGAGATTTTTAAAAAATCTACGTTATTTTGTCTGGAAATCTTGGAAAAACTTCTTAATTAATTGGTAAGAAAGTCCTTGAGAAATATTTTTCAGGAAGCACTGCCTCAAATTACGATATTTAGTCATGCAGTCTTCAAATAATATTCTTCAAAAATGTGTTAATGTTTGGCCAGAAACGAAGCCCCTGAATATCAATCTTAAAAAAATTACGACATTTAGTCAAGAAGATCCTTAAAACTATGTATCAATTCATGGCCAGGATGTCCTTTAAAAGAGTTGTTAAAAAAATGTATCAATTTTTGACCAGCCGAAGCCATGCTTAGAAACTTATGTGGAATATATGTAGTATAATGATATTACGGCGTTTCTCTTTAGTTTAAAAGATGTTGGGAGCGTATGCTATAAAATGCTCAGTAAAAATGTAAAAAATCACTTCACATATATTGCTAAAAAAATGTGCAAACAAGCCCATATTTAAAAAAAAAAATATTTATGTATACTAAAATGGCCTTTATATATGCTGGAGAGGGAGAGAGTCACTCCACCTATGACATGATGTGTAAATCAGCCCTAAAAAATTTGACACACGAGGTAATGGTTATTCCAAAACGTGGAGATGTTTTATTAGAAAATGGCGACCAAATTTTAAAATTAATTTTAGTAATTTGTCCCTTCTAATTACCCGAAATCTTTCAAATGGCTCTCGTTAATGATTATCAACCAATTTAAAGGCCTTTGCTTCAGAATTTTAAACAATTATCCTGTAATTCAAAATCTTATATTTCTATATTCCCAAGATAATGAAAATGATTTTTAACTATAATATATATATTTTTTAATATTAACATATTCGTTTGGACATATTATTTTTTATTAGTTTATAATATCACTTATTAAAAATACTTTTTTCTATTTTAATATTATTTAGTTTTAACAAAAAAATATGTATTGCAAATTTTTCGTTGCCTTAACTCAGCTTCCATCCAAAAATGCTTTCTCGATCATTTACCTAAGGCCTTCCATGCATGCATAAAAAAATAATTTTAATCGAATAATTTAATAAAACAAATAAAACTATAAAGAAATAATATTAGCTATATAATCAGTTGTTATAGTTTTTTATATGATGACAAAAGTATCTGTGTGTATAACTTACTAATTAGAGAAAAAAATAATTAGCAACATAAAAAAATCTTAAATATATAAATTACACAAAAGAAACGGAGTGAATCTATTGCAATCGGAGTTATCTAAGTTTAGTGTGAAAATCTATACATTAAAAAAACAAATATATTTAATGAAAAAAAAAAAAACAAATATTTAATATAAAGATGTGTTACTATAATAATAAATCATATAAGTTTATTTTTACTATTTATAATAGATGTGTATTATATTAAATTTTGAAAATTATTTCAAATATCACAAAAAATAACTGATAATAAATAAAACAGTAATTAATTTCAAAAATTAAAAAGAAAATAGAGAATAAAATTAAACAAAATAATTTACCTTATGAAATTGTACAATCATTTGTGTTGCATTCATTGAATTAATTGGTGCTAACATTATGTCTGTATATTGTATTGTGTATTATAATTGACCACTTTTGTATATTTGCAAACAAACAAGAAAAAAAAATTATTTATTTTGTGAAAAATAATAAAGATTTGATGAATATAACAAAAATTTAATGGAAAATTAGTATTTATTTTTATTAAAATTCAATCGAAAAAAAATTTTTAAATTTGTTTTTAATTCGAATAATTTTATTCGTGTTTTTTCCATATTTCAAACTATGGAAATGGATTAATTTATTTTTTTATTTGTACTTGAAATGAAGATTACATTCAATAATTTTAATTCACTGCGGTTTTTTGAAATTAAAAATAAAATGATTCCAATTATTAATGGAATAATTCGAATTTCCAATGGAATTTTATGTCTTGAATTACAGCCAAGAAGTTTGGATTTTGAAACGGCCCCTAAAAATCCTTGGAAGATATTTTTTTAAAAAATTCATAATATTTGGCCAGTAAGTACTTGAATGATATTTACTTTAATAATCCCCGATTTTTTTCCTTGAAAAATACTTTTCCCACATTTTTCGATAATTAGTCAGAAAGCTCATATAAATCCTTTTAAAAAAATCCATGATATTAGGTCACGAAGCCCTTGAAAAATATTTTTCAAAAAATCCTTGATATTTAGTAAGTCCTTGAAAATGTCAAAAGGTCCTTCAAAAATATTTTCCCTAAAAACGATATTTCGTCAGGAAAACATATTTTCCAATAAAACGATGATATTTGATCAGGAAGACCTTAAAAATATCCTTCAAGAGATCTTCAATATTTGGGCAGAAAGTTTTTAAACAATATCCATAAAAATCCTCGATATTTCGTAAAAAAGTCCTTCAAAAATATTTTTCAATAAATTTACAAAATTCCACCAGTTTTTTTGTTTTTTAAAAACAGAAAATTTAGTTAGGGAGTCCTTAAAAATATTTTTAAAAACAATTCACGAACTCCTGAAACATAATTTGCAAAAAAAAACATTATCCAATAAACCATGTTTTTAGGTGAGGATGAAAGAATGTTAAACAATCCGCGATATTAAGGTAGGAAATCCAAATTTCTCGATATTTAGTCAAGAATTCCTTAAAAAATATTCTTCAAAAATTTATCCAGATTCATGAGCGGACACATTTTTTCAAAAAAACTTAACGTTATTGGGCTAGGAAGTCCTAAAACATATTTGCTTAAAAAATAGCTTTATTCGGTAAAGAGGTCCTTGGAATTGTCTTTCTTTAAAAATCCACAATGTTTGGCCAAGAAGATTTTAAAAAATGTTTTCAATAAGTAGTAGTAGTTAGTAGTAGTAGTAAGACCTAGAAAGTAGTTTAAAAAATATCCACAAATCTTTTTCAGAAAGTTCTTGAATTTTTTTATTTTTTTTTTAATTTGCGGAAAATTTAGTACTCTTGGTCAGAAACACCTTGAAAACTATTTTTCAAAATTCCATGATTAATACAAATATTTTTGAAAATTCTTGGCCAGGAAAATTCTAACAAACATTTAAAAGAATGTTATTGCTGATCATCAAAAAATATTAAAAAAAATCGTGATTGCTTGTTAGAAAGTCCTTGCAAAATATTTTTTTTCAAAAAAAAAAAAAAACCTCAATATTTATTCAGGAAGTCCTTGAAAATTAAAAAAACAATACACCATATTTGGTACAGGGAAATTTCAGAATAAGTTTAGATTTGTTCGAATTTGTAACCTTTGGCACGAATTATGGCCTTCAAACGGCCAATGAAAACGTCACACGCTGCCCGAATGTTTCTCTGCGGTGCTTTGACCCATTCCCGGCGAAGCGCTTGCTTCGACACTTTGGTATTTTTTAGTGCCAAAAATATTCCAGACAAAATAGTCCAACGGATTGGTATCCGGAGATTTTGGTGGTGTGGCATTGTGCGCTGGAAATGAAGCGAGGAACCTCATTCTGACAATTCTTGGGTGGCGCGTGTTGAGTGCGATGGTGCTGAGTCCTGTTGGAATGTCCAAATGTCCGAAATATTTGCGTACCCAAGGCTTTAGTACACCCTCCAGAATATTTTCGCGATAATATTCGGCATTTAATCTGATACCACGGTCGATTAATACGAGCGGAGAGCGAACATCGGCTGTTATGGCGGCCCACACCATCACCATGGCCGGCGCTTGAGTTCTGTTAGCCAACCGAAGGTGCACATTTTCAGCTGACCTCTTTGTCAAGTGGACAAGAAATGTTTACTCACCGGAGAAAACCAAATTCGGCAGTTCACCACTTTCGGCCAAGCGAATCAACTCTTTAGCTCTTTTGAGTCTATTTTCTATCTGTTGCGGTGTAAGTTCTTGCACTTTTTGGAATTTCAATGGCTTTACCCCGAGCTCATTTTTCAATATTTGCCGAATGGAATATTGCGATATGTTAAGCTCACGAGCCATTTTTCGGCCACTGCGACGCGGGTTTCGATCGAGTTGCTTCTTAACTTTTCGAGCCATTTCTGCTGATGTTGCTGTTTTCTTCCGTACAATTCCTCGACGTCGGGCTACGCAATCAGTTTAAAAAGATTTATTCACATTTAAATGCTGGAGTGCTCTAACGAGTGCGGTTTGCTGTTTGTTCATCTCACCCTGTACTGAAAAAATACTTTTCTCGGCCAGGAAGTTTTTGAAGATGTCTTTAAAAAAACAAGCCTCGAAATCCTTTAAACGTCACGATTTTTGGCCAAAAAGTCCTTGTACATGTTAAGCTGCACCCAAAATTGAATCAAGAATTTACAAAACTGGACCTAAACTTGATCAAAAATATTATCCCATTGTGGGGTAGTAATAATTATTTACAATTTTGCATGATTGTGAGTTGAGTTAGGGTTTATCAGAAAGAGCGGGCCGATTTTTCAGACTTGACCTATCTTAGCAAAGGTAAAGTCTTAAGAAAATCGAATATTGTTTTCACATTTTATGGGAAATATTTTTCTTCATTTAGTTCTATATTAAAATTTTTGCTTAGATTTGCCTCCTTTCGCATTATTTTCAATACCATTTGAAAACAGAAATTTTCATATCCAAATATTTTTTAAACAAAAAAAATGTGTCAAATTTTTTATTCACATTTTCCCCCTTTCACAACTAAGTTATGGTGATAGTCAATAGTTTACTAAAGAATATATTTATAAAAAATAAAAAAAACAACAAATTTTATATTTATTATAAATAAATAAAATTAATTTTAAATAAATAAACGTAAAACATTAAAATATATTTATAAATTTGTTTAATAAACTAAAAATGAAAAAAAAACAACAACAATGATAAAATGCTACACAGCAGCAATAAAACAAATTTTCCTATTCTGATAAAAATGAAGCTGTGTTAAACATATTTCGCAAAATAAATATAAAAAAACAAACAACAAAATATCACTCCATTACAAAACAAAAATGCTTAAAAAATCACCATAAAACGAATAGAAAATCAATCAACTCTTTAATGGATAGTTTCAATAAAAATTCATTGAGAATAAAAAATAAAAGAAATAAAATAAATATCTACATTCATACGCAACAACAACAACTACAGATCGTTCAACAACCAGAAAAATCCAAACAGAAAATAAAAATTATAATAGTAACAAAATATAAAACCAAAAACAAAATTAAAAAAAATGGAAATAAAATAACAATTTTTATCATTAGCAATGAAATTAAGAGAAATAATGAAGGAAAACTATAAAATAAAATAAAATAAAATAAAAAGAAAGAAAGAAAGAAGGATATACTATGAATGATGAGAATATAATAATAAACTCAAAAGATGAAATTAATTTGAAGATCGTTTTTTTACTGTAAGGGAAATTTGCGGGAGAAAAGGTGCTATCTACGCTATTTACTTGATTTACTATTTAAAGAGGTCAAAAGTTTTCATTCTGATATCATCAATAGGGAAGACTACGAAACATCTTGAGATCTGTAAATCTAGAAAATTCATAATTTTCAGCAATTATTCTAAATACTGTCCTAACGATTTCCTAAAATATATTCTTTAAACCCGCGATGTCTTACTAAAGTCCATTAAAATAAACTCACGATTATTCCTTCTAAAGTCTATTAAAACTATTTTCAACAAATCCACCATTAGTCCTCCTAAAGTCCATTAAAAATATTCTTTAAAAAGCCCCGAAAATAGTATTTCTAAGTTCATTCAAATATCCCATAAAAATACGCGAAAAATATTATTGAAAATCCATAACTACACATCTTGAAGTCTATAGGCTTTAGACTTGAAAAATAGTTAAACTAATGGTGTTCAAGTATTGCCTAAAAATTTAAAAACCTCTATTATTGATATTAGATTTCAATATCACCATTTGACGACATCTTCATAATTGCTTAGTCCATGTAGAAGAACTTTTAAAAATTATGATTTGATTGTATTATGATTTGATATTACTTCCAAATATTTCATTAACCACAAAATCTATCACGCCGCATGTGTGTTGACCATTAGCTGGAAAATAAAATTGTATTAAATTATTTTTAATACTTTAAGCAAAACAAGGTATTGTTTTATTGAGATAACATTTGGAATGGTATTAACAATTATAATTTATCTTATTTCGAAAGCTTTATTTCCAAAGACACTCCGGTAGGGTAGTACGGCAGTATTTCTTTGTAAAAAAGACAAAAAAGTATCAATACAAATGCTTATTTGAATCCAGTCAATGAAAACATATCTTTCAAAATAAGAAATACTTTTTTACAAACATTTTACAAACATACAAATATTTAATGTTAAATTTTAGTTAATAGTATGAGCTTCATAAGTAGTTAGTTTTCTTTTAAGTACATATTTTTGGTAACAATTCACTGGTACATTGTTGCTGTTTAGTAATCCTTTTTTTTAAATGCCATTTTAGTCATCTCTTGGCTGTGGATAGAATTGTGTTAGAGTTTTGGCAATTTCCTGAGCCAATTCCATGGATGAGGCAGCCAAAACACGTCTTGACATCATATCAAATTCACCACCAGCTGGATCAATAACAACACCGCCAGCTTCCCGCACAATAATATCGCCGGCACATACATCCCAAGCGTGAATGCCAAATTCATAATTAGCATCGGCAGCTCCCAAAGCAACCATGGACATGTTGAGGGCAGCAGAACCCAATACACGTAACCTAAGGAGGAAATAGATAGGAGAAGACATTAGTTGGGAATTAATTTTATATAAAATGGGAAAAAATACTCCTTAGTATTCTAAGTAGATTTTCTCGTAGAATTTGTATGTATACTTACCTATAGAAGGTAAGTAGATTTCCTCAATGAAGTTTAATAGATTGTCTCATAGAAAAGCTATATATAATATAGACCTCTGCATCCCATCTAAGGGAAGACCTACGGATTTTCTATGAGAAGATCTACAGATCTTCTATGGGAAGATCTACAGATCTTCAATGAGAAGATCTACAGATCTTCAATGAGAAGATCTACAGATCTTCTATGGGAAGATCTACAGATCTTCAATGAGAAGATCTACAGATCTTCAATGAGAAGATCTACAGATCTTTTATGGGAAGATCTACAGATCTTCTATGGGAAGATCTACAGATCTTCTATGGGAAGATATACAGATCTTCTATGGGAAGATCTACAGATCTTCAATGAGAAGATCTACAGATCTTCTATGGGAAGATCTACAGATCTTCAATGAGAAGATCTACAGATCTTCAATGAGAAGATCTACAGATCTTCTATGGGAAGATCTACAGATCTTCTATGGGAAGATCTACAGATCTTCTATGGGAAGATCTACAGATCTTCTATGAGAAGAAGATCTGCTATGAGAAGATCTACTGATCTGCTATGAGATGATCTACAGATCTTCAATGAGAAGATCTACTGATCTTCAATGAAAAGATCTACTGATCTTCAATGAAAAGATCTACAGATCTTCAATGAGAAGATCTACAGATCGCAAAAGAATATCTATCGAACCAATGGCGTCATTTAATTAAACTCCACTACTCACCCATGAGCCTTGGCGGCCATTTTCTGGAAATTCTCATTCACCACCTTCATTTTCTCCGGATCTCGGGTTGTACCGAATTCACTGGTTATCAATGCCTTGGCTAGGTCTTTTTGACCGCTGACTTTAATTGGCTTGCCATTATAGAAAGCTCCCTGACCGCGTCGAGCAGTGAAACGTTGTTGGAGCATCGGATTATATACAATGCCCAATTCGGTCACTTTGTTTACCACCAGACCTACCGAAATGCAAGAATGTGGAAAGGCATGTACAAAATTCATTGTACCATCGACGGGGTCAATGATCCAAGTGGGTGCATCGGTAAGTTTTTTGGGTGCTCCCTCGGCACTGCTTTCCTCCTCGCCAATGAATCTGAAATGGGGATAGACATTGTTAGTTGAAATTGAAAAAAGGATTCAAATAAAAAACCTAGTAATAAGAGTGAAATATTCCTCCAAAAATCAGCTTAGCCATACAGTTTATAAAGGATCTTGCTTATAAGTAGAATATATTTGCTTTAGGCTAGGAAACCTTCCTTATGGTGGAAAGAAGGCATTCCATATGGTTTCTTCAAATAGAAGATATTCCACAGATGGGAACTTTTTTCTTTATGTAAAAAGCTTTCTGTAGGATTTTTTTATAGATAAAATGTATTGTATAAGTCTTCCGTAGATAGGCGACTCACTGGTGGTCTGTAGAAAGAAGACATGCTTAAGGTAGACTATACACAGAAAAAATTCTATAGATAGACGACTATTCATAGGATTCCTATAGAAAGCCTTCGGAAACTTTTCCGTTGAAAAAAGGCAATAGACATTTGCAGGTTCTTCTATTAAAGATCTTTCATAGGAATATACTGGTTAGGAAGTCGGTGACTTTGGAGATTTCTGGCTTTGAAACTATGCATTTCCCAGACAATATCATCTAGAAACGTTTTCCTGCGGAATCATTTGTTTAATGGGCTCTACTGTATATTAAAAATAGTTTCTTACTTATGATCTGGAAATTGCTCCTTGATGCCGTTCATCAACAGGTTTTCCACTTCCTTATCTGTTTCGGTGACCAAATCAATATCGCCCTGTTTGCATACGAATTCTTGGCGTGTTTCATTGCGACGGGCTATTATCTGATTGAATGCGTGTGTGGGTGGGCGGCAATGGGGTGACCGGAAAATTTTGCAAAAAATCAATGATGTGCACAAATTTCTTAATTAGTAATGTAAACAATTGATAACATTCACTTTGTTATTCAACTCACAGCTCCTGCCTTGTTCACTAATTCATTGACCACTTCAAAGCATTTGTCAAGATCTACAGCAGCAGTCTCAGCCATTTTAGACAATTTACGATAGCAAACCAGAAACTTCGATGGGTAAGAAGCCAATAGTAAAGTTCTTCCGAACGCCAACACGATGTTTTAATTTATGAAAATTAGATTTAATTCTAACCGATACCGCAGCAACAACCACATCAACCGGAACGTAGTAATTGAATTAAAAGCTAACTACAAAGCTTATTTTAGAAAATCAACGCCGGTGAAATAGAAAATATAGACGGCAAAGGGAATTAATCAAGAACAGCTGATAGAGAAAAAAAGTATTTTGTTTTGAATTCTTTTGTATAGAATGGCATATAATAGAGAATGTGAAAAAGTTGCTGTGGATTTATAGGGCTGCCATCACAGATGTTTTTGTCATGCGCAAAATGCAGCGTTGCCACATGATAGACTGCTGCCTTGTTGTGGATTATTTAAGTTTAAAAACACCCAGAAGTAACGAGTAAATTAGAAATTTGTCATGGTTTACGCCCAAATAAAGATAAACAAATGTATCTTCCTGAGATATGGAACAAAAAAATGTTATTTTAATCTCATTATTGTGTTATTCTACATTATAAAACGTTTATTTATTATTGGAGCAAACATGACATTGTTTAACAAAGAGTAGAAAGCGAATAAGAACAGTCCAGCATAAAGTCTTGGTAAAGAACACCATTTCTTTACCGTTATAGTCGGAATAGGAATCGAACAATGTATTTTTTTCTGACAAAGCACACTCATTACGCTTTACAGTTGAGTTACACGAAAGTATATTGTACAGTGTAATGATGAAAGCAAACATATAACAAACATAAACATTGATATAAATACCATAATTACCCACTTTACCATAAATGTAGTTAGTGGACTTGGCAACAGGACATTAGAGGAAAGGCAAATATAATCCCCATTCGTGTCTAAAATATGGCAACACTACTTCCGTTGTGACAGTTCATAAATAAAAGCGCCAACAGTCGGTAGCGTTACTACGGGTGCAAAATTAAAGTGTGAAATACAGAGAAAATGAAAAAGTAAATTATAAATAAGTGCAGTACAAACATAGGCGACATTGCCGTAATTCGTTGCGTTATAAAATAAACTGAATTTTTGTGTGATAAATTAGTATAATTCGCGATGATTTTCCTCCCCTTACATCCAATGAGAAACGGGAGAAATTATAAGAACAGAGAATGTCAGTTGTGGTATTGCCAACATACAATGAGAGATCAATGTGCAATTGAAATGTATTTTTATGAATTTGGCTACAACTCTTTCGTTCTGACAGTTCACAAATAAAAGCGCCAACAGTCGGTCGAGTCATTGAAAGTGCAAAATAAAAGTGTAAAATTTAAAGAAAATACAAAAGTGAATGATAAATAAGTGATACACAAGAAGAGCCGATATTGCTGCGATATGTTGCGTGATAAAATAATCTGTGTTTTCACATGATAAATTAACAAAATTCGCAATTTATTTCCTTCCCTCACATCCAATAAGAAAACGGGAGAATTATAAGAACAGAGAATGTTCAGTTGCGGTATTGCCAATATACAATGTCGCCGAATAAGAAAATAATGTGCAATTTAATGGCAACATTACTTTTTTATTGATTGTTCATAAAGAAAGCGCCAACAGTCGGGAGAGTCATTGAGAGTGCAAAATTAATGTGTGAAATATGAAGAAAATACAAAAGTAACTGATAAATAAGTGCTGCACAAGAAGAGGCGACATTACTGTAATTCGTTGCATGATAAAATAAACTGTGTTTCTTGGCGATAAATTAAAATAAAACGGAATGTATTTCCGCCTTCTACAACCAATATAAAAAAAAGAGAAGAATTGTTAAAGCAGAGAATGCTCAGTTGTGGTATTGCCAACATACCTTTTTTGTAAAGAAGTCGGTAGAGTAATCAAAAGTGGCAAATTAATGTGTAAAATAGAAAAAAGACATTGCAGAGACGTATAACGATATGTGATAAATCAAATGAAAATGTTTGGTGATAAATTATCATGTTCCTAGTTTATTTTCTTTCCGTGCAACGACTGAGATAGGGAGAAACATAAAAGCAGAGAATATTCTGTCAGAGTGCTGCCAGCAAACAGTGTGTTCAGTGGGTTTTAATTGTTAGTATATTTATCGAATTTGGCAACATCTCAATAAAGAAAGACAGAAAGGCCAAAATGATCCACATAGGTGATATGGCAACAATACTTCCGTTGTGACAGTTCATATTAAAATGCGCCAAAAGTCGGTTGTCGCAAAAAGTGCTGAATTAAATCGTTAAAAATTAGTGAAAATCGAAAGGAAAATATAAAAATTTATGTATCAGAGATTATAAATGTGCAATATCATTATTTCTAGTTTATTTCCTAAACAACCATACAATGAGAAAGGGAGAGAAAGAGTGCTTCAGAGAATATTTGATGCCCATTGTATAGAGTTGCTAAATCGTAAAAATTATAATCATATTACAATCATATTACAATAAAAACGGGAAAAATACAATAAACAGATGCGTCGGGATGACAATTCAAAATGTGAAAACTTTTTAAGAATACATCAATTGAAACCAATTATTTTAAAAGTATAAACTATTAGCTACTGGATTAAGCAGGAATAACGTCAATACTCCGTATTACAAATTAAGAATGATGACGACCGCTGCATTGCAAATATCAATAGTAAATAGAGTAAAGAAAGAGAGAGAGAGAGAGAGAGTAACTTGTGGAACATAATATCAAAAATAAAATGAGTGTCTAAAGTTTCAATACCATTAAAAACTGTGACAACACTACTTCAGTTGTGACAGTTCATAAGTTCATAATCTTTTACCAACGAAGTTGTTTTGAAAACAGACAATTTAAAATTGAAAATTTAAAGATAAAAAATTATTTCTCACTCTGTAAAGAGAGGCAAAAAACACTTGTAATATATATTATATATATTTTGTTATTTCAAAACACATACAATCACAAAAAAATTTTGAGGCTCTCTGCCTTGCCCTGCTATAAACGGATGCGTCGGGATGACAATTCAATATTTTTGTGAAAATGTGAAAAATTTTAACTAAATAAAAAAAAATTAAATAAAAAAAATTAATCCAAATGTATAAACTATTAGCTACTGAATAAATCAGGAATACAATACTCCGTATTACAAATTACGCATAATGAAGACCACTTCCCTGAAAATAGCAACAGTGAATAGGGTAAAGAAAGTAAAGAGAGAGAACATAATATCAGAAATGAGTGTCTTAAGTTTCAATACCATTAAAAACTACGACAACACCATTTCCGTTGTGATAGTTCACAAGAAAATGCGCCAAAAATATGTAGTCACATAGGTGCTTTATTAAATAAATATTATAATTGAAAAAAATGTAAAATTAATTAAAAAGTAAATTACATCGCGGTAAAAAGTTCCTGTGGAAGTATAATGTGGGTTGCTTTGTAAACATATAAATGTAAATAAAGAATGAAAAATGAAAGAAAATCAAATATTTTATGAAGAATATCAATCTGTGTGTAATAAAGTATAATGAATATATAAAATTATGCAAATATTGGAAAATAATTTTAATGGCATTATTAAAATGATAAAGTGAAATTAAGTGAAATATTTAATTAAAAAAATAAATAATATATATTATATATGAAGTCTGAGCGTCTATAAAATAATTTGTAATAATGAAATGTGTACAAATAATTATTTATAATATAAAATATCAGGAAACTTTTTATAGAAATTAAATATGACAATGAATGAATATTAAAAAATATATAAAAATAATTAAATTATTTAAAAAATATTTTTTAACTTTGAAAAGAATGTGAAATTTATTATATTAAAATATAGAGAAAAAAGCAAGTGTTGAAAATGAATATAAATGGTCTTATTAAAATGTAGAAATATAAAAGAAAATATAAAAAATAGAAAGTGAAAAATATATTGAAAAAAAAATATTATTATGTGTGAAATGTGATAGTCTAAGAAATAATTTTTAATGGTGGAAAATTATATAAATGCTCCATCACTCGAGATAGCCGTTTCTGTCAATATCAAATGCTAGAAGCAGTGCATCTCAAACTATTGGTGCTGAACAACATTACTTGCGAAACCCGCTGATCGGTAAGGTAAGTGTATCTTTTTTATTACAAAAACAAAAAACAAACATTGATATAGTTAAATAACATACATTATTTAAATTTTTACCTCTGGACTTTTAAATAAATCTTTGTAATAGTTTTTTATTCGTGAATGCAATAATTTATTGTCGTTTTATATAGCAACATCTTTGTACCCTCCACCATACAGGGTGAGATAAAAACTGCAGCAAAGTCAAAAGACATAATATTTACATCTTTTGTTTTAATTTTATTGAATGGAAGCAAAAAATGTCGGAAATATCATCAAATTTTAGAATAAGTATAGATTTGTTCGAATTGGTCACCTTTGGCACGAATTATGGCCTTCAAATGGCCAATGAAACCGTCACACGCTGCCCGAATGTTGCTCTGCGGTATTTTGGCCCATTTCTGGCAAAGCGCTTGCTTGAGGTGACGGACACTTGGTATTTTTTAGTGCCAACCTTACTTTCCAAAATAATCCAGACACAATAGTCCAACGGATTAGTATCCGGAGATTTTGATGATCATTGTGCTCTGAAATTAAGCGAATAACCTCATTTTGTAACCATTCTTGGGTGGCGCGTGTTGAGTGCGATGGTGCTGAGTCCTGTTGGCATGTCCAAGGTCTGCGGGTAAAATGTTTGAGTGCCCATTTCTTTAATACGGCCTCCAGAATTTTTTGCAATAATATTGGGCATTTATTCTGATGCCACGGTCGATTAATACGAGCGGAGAGAGACCATCGGCTGTTATGGCGGCCCACACCATCACCATGGCCGGCGCTTGAGTTCTGGTGGGAAACCGAATGTGCACATTTTCACCTGACCTCTTTGACAAGTAAACACCATCATTTTGTTTGTTTAAAAACTGCTGGACAACGAATGTTTTCTCATCGGAGAAAACCAATTTCGGCAGTTCACCACTTTCGGACAAGCGTCTATGTTCTTTCTTTTACGGTGAAAGTTCTTGCACTTTTTGGAATTTCAATGGCCCCAATTCATTTTTCAATATTTGCCGAATGGAATATTGCGATATGTTCAGCTTAAGATCCATTTTTCG